AGGGAAGTAACCTATGCTTTTTAAATAAGGCAGACTACACTGACAGATGTGGGTTTTGACTGAGAGAGAGAATAGGTGGGTGATTTTGAAAGCACAGAAAGAGGAAGCAAATCCCTTCTTCCTTTCTCTTGTATAGCCTGGCCTTAGACACCACTGTATGCCAACTGAGTACACACTAGTATGCTAATATATAGTAAGTAAAGTACAGGTATCTATCATGTTTTTTGTTGACTGGCCTTTGTTATATAATTACAATTACAGCCACTAATTGTAATTCTTTATGGAGGAAAATATTTTTCAAGTTATAAACATATCACACATGGATCTTGGAGCAGAACTAGTTTGGTAGTTGAGGACTGACTTCATTGGCTGGTGTCAGTGGATTTCTACCAGAGTATAGACATCATTCCTATTTCATTAAACAGTGAGTGTGTGTGTAGGCATATGTGGAGAAATACGGAAGCAAATGAAACAGAAAACGAAAATTACCAGTGAAGAAGATCGTGTTTGAGAATCGCAATTCGTATGCAATATAAGGAAGAAGCATATAGAATTCAGAAGTCAGAAATATTTCTCTAAGTTTTTTGAAAGAGAAAAATGAATTACGTTAAATGAAGTATGATGTCGTAGCCTTTGTAATTACAGCACTACAGCCATAAAATTTGAAGTTTTAGAAAAACTGCTCAAAAAGGTACTTTTCAAGACTTTCAAACATTGCTTGGTATTTTTGAAGTATACTTCTTTGACACTGAGTGATATAGTTTGAATAATTGTCCCCTCTGAATCTCATGTTGAAATTTTATCCTGGTAGGAGGTGTTTGGTTAATGAGGGTGGATCTCTCAGAACAGTGGGTGCTGTCCTTGCTGTAATGAATGAGTTCTTGCTATATTAGTTCCTGTGAGAACTGATTGTTAAAAAGAGGCTGGCACATCCTCCTGTCTCTTTCCTCCTCTCTTGCCACGTGGGTGATGCTGGCTTCCTTCCACCTTCCACCACAAGTGGAAGATTTCCAAGGCCCTCACGAGAAGCAGATGCTGATGCCATGCTTCTTGTACAGCTCGCAGAACCATGGGCCAAATAAACCTCTTTTCTTTATACCCAGCCTCAGGTATTCCTTTACAGCAACACAAAACGGACTAAGACACTTAGCTTAAGTAAAAGAGACATTTTCTTTTCTAGAAGTCTTCTTCCTCTACATCTCTAATCTCTACTTTGACTTCAATTGTCTGAATAATAAAATCAGAAGTTTTCAACTAAACTCCACTATTATTTCAAAGTCAGATTTTCTAGAAATCAGGTATTTTAGTTTTTGTAGTTAATTTTTTAAGTTTGAAATTTCTTTTGTGATAAGGTATGTATTTTCTTTCTCTAAACACAAATATAGCATCGGGGCCGTGCATCACAAGGATCTGCTGATTGGGAAAACTAGCCACACATGTGCATCATCTAAATTGAGAGCACAATGAGGCTTCAGTGTAAATGATCATTTATAAACCTAGCTTTTAATAAATTACAACAGAGTTCCAAAGTTTCCTTCTTAAATTAGCTTTATGGTATTTATTAAAACAGCACTTTCAGGAATTAGAAAATGTAAAAGATAACTCACTCAAAATCATTTATTTTGGGTTTGTCATTGGTATTTCTCTGAAGTTGTGGAGACCATGAAAGTGGATTTAGTTTCCCCTTTTCCATCCACTCAAGCTTCAGGTTCTTAAAGGCAGAAAATACTGCTGGAGCTTTGGCTGTCACAGCATTCATTATTGGCAGTTATTCTTTGATCAGTTACTAGTTAACTTACTACCAGTAAATGATCAAGTCAGCATCAGTCATGGGAAACATCTATAGAGGCAAGAAAGTCAATCAAGCCTTGATTTTTTTTTTTCAGTGTGTTGTACAATAAAAAAAATTTTAAGTAACTTTCTCATCTGAACTCACTGAGTTACCTCATTTATATTTGAATATCCCTACCACCCTTAACTCAAGTAGTCCTTCCTCTGGTTCTGGTCCCTGACTATATTTAAACCCTTTGGGGAGCTTTTAACAATCCCCATGGCCAGACTACAACCTGAACCAATTAAATCAGATCTCTGGATATGAAATCCAGTACCAGTGGCTTTTTTTTTTTCCTTTAAAATTTCTGGAGACGCTCCAAAAGTGCAGCTAATTTAAAAAACTCATTATTCTAAACTCTATGGAGCTGGGATTGTAGAATCACGCTCGGTCAGAGATGGAAGTGGCACTGTGGCTGCAGTTTTAAAAATCAGTTGATGCTAGGAGGAGATGGGACAGGGATAGTTAGAGGCTAAATCCTGACTCCTCCAAATTCACATGTTGAAGTCCTAACCTCCAATCCCTAGAATGTGACTGTATTTGAAGATGGGGTTTTAATTAAGTTAACATGAGGTCATTAGCATGGGCCCTAATCCAATAGGGCTGTTGTCCTTATGAGAAGAGATTAGGACAAAAGCATGCTGCATGGTAGATATACCTGACAGCAATAACCAAACTTAAGCATACCCTGAAAATGACTCTGTATGGCAGATGCACCTGAGTATGTGTTCACAGTTCCAAGCTAAGGAATCTGAGAGTGGCCAGCCCAGAGATTCATTCCTTATCTGTGAAGAACATCTGAGCCCACATTCCAGTGCCATGGAACGTGGGATGTACAGGCAACTGAGGCCCTTTGTGTTGGGTTAAACAAAGGTTGCCAGGTGGAGGTTGTTGGGGGAGGATGTTAAGTGAAAATGCCATATAAATAGCATGCTTTCTGCAGGCCATGGCAGTTCTGCCCCGCCTTCCTCTACTGGACCACTCTACATGTATGCTTCCCTCAATAAACACCATGTCTTGTTTCCTGGTTCTGGGTCTCTTCTTTAGCTTCTTGAACATGATGCCATCCCTATTGGAGTACTGGGTCCAGCATGCTGCATGCACAAAAGGGAAGACCATGTCAAGATACAGGGAGAAGATGGCCATCTACTGCCCAGGAGACAGCCCTGAGGAGAAACCCACCCTGTGATAAATTGATTTCAGATCCCAGACTCCTGAACTATGAGAAAAATAAATACCCAGCCTGTGGTACTTTCAAACTAATACATATCTGGCAAACCGATACAGGGGAAAAAGGGATTGTAGAGGTAAAGAAGAGAAAGGAAGAGTGAAGAAAAGGCTTTGTGAGACATCATGTGAAAAGGAAGTTCTGTGCATGGAATTTGTTGATGCCAGAGCTGCACTGCTGTGTGAACAGGTCTCCTGGGAATTTCCACTGTGCTGAGGCAATTTAACTGAGAGCAAAGAGCCAGGGACCTAGACCTTTGTCTGATAATTATGGTGCAGACAGAAGGAAGAGTGAATGTGCTCTACTGATTTAGTTGGCTTGTGTAACCTCCAGCTACCTATCCAGCTTTGTGGTTTATAAACACTTAGCCTCCAGGCTACTATCCCAACTTTATGCTGTGGGGTTCTCCATAAATACTTCTTATGGAATTACAGTATTATAAACTCTTCAAGGAAGGGGGAACCATAGCCTACTCATTTTTGTGACTTGGTAAATGGCACATGGCAGGCACTCAGAAATGTTTGTTGAATGAGTGAATACACTGATTGATTAGTAAGTAAATAACCTACTGTATTAAGTCTAAATTATTTTGATTTTCTAAATACTTCATATTCAAAATATTTCTTTTCCTCTACTTTGCTTGTTACTGAATGGTTTCCCACAAATTGCCTATCTGTTCCTCCTATTATATATTAGTTTAATGTATTGCCCACCTGAGTTGCCTTTTATTTATAGAATTACTTTATTTTCTTTTTTTTTTTAATAGAAAACCTAGGTTTATTTGTTAAGCTATTACAAAAACAAAACAATTACCATTTGAAGTACTTTGAGGACTTCATCCAAGACTCACTTGCTCTGTTACAGAAACTAACCTAAAAGGCTGGAAATTAAAGTATATACCCTAAGAGTTTGTAACAGCAGACTGGTAAAACATGGCAAAAGAAGCTCTCTCTTTCCTACCCAGTCTACCTACACCAAGCTCCTGTGCATTTTCACCACATAAATCTGCTAGCTTACAAAAGATGCACACAGTCAAGGCAGGAATTATAGGCCTACTCAGAGGGTACCCAGACACAGAAAGTTTTGGGGTAAATAATAAACTACAAATACCCTCTCGGTTAAGTTATAGAATTACTTTATTTTCAAAGTTCATTTCTCATGTCTGTTAGGCTATGAACCATAGATCCCAGTCTACAGTCAGCAATCCTTTATTGAGCCTCTACTCTATGCCAGACACTGTGTTAGATACTAGGCATACAGAAATATAATACATTCAGCTAAGTTCTTTGCCTTCTAAAGTCTTGCACTTAAGCCAGGAGAAAGTCAGGTACGGAGTTAAAATACAATGTTCTGAGTGCAATAGAAGCAGAAAACAGATGCTATTGGATGTTACAAGAAATAGAATTTAGATCTATATGGGGATTCAGAGAAGACTTAAGAGAGTGACTTAAATTGACTCTAGAGGGTTATATGAGCACACACAGTTGAAGAAAGTGTATTAATCGTGATCCAAGGAGAGAAAGAGCACATGTGAAAGCCGTCGAGACATTGGATTTGAGACACTGGAAACTCGTTAGCACGTGAATGTTTTTATTTTGTTACTGAATCTATTTCTGCAATCTTGAAATCTTAAGGAAGGGCCACCATTAACATTTACTCACATTGCTTAGGAAAAGAGGAGAATATTCGTTATATAAAGCCTCCCTGCTATGAAAGAAAAGGGTGATAAGAAAGAAATCTGAGGTTATATTGTCTCTAAGTGATATCAACTAGCCCAAGTAAGTTATTTATTTGGGACTAAACCCTGTATATCCCTGTCTACAAAGTACTTTTATTTACACTGTCTCCTCTGAGTCTCAAAATTACCCTCTAAGAACATATTTGCCAGTAACCTTTTTTTTTTTTTTTTTTTTTTTTTTTTTTTTTTTAACCATCTGTAAGGAAAATGCATGTGATGCATTCAAGAAGAGGCTGAGGCAGACATCCGGTCCAGTATGACTCAGTGAATTTGAAGCGCAGGCGCACGACTCTGCTCATTATGTAACCACTCCAGGTGAGGCACATTAGGTAACCACTCACGTGAGCTCGTGGCTAGCTCAGAGCAGGTGTTGTCGGTAAAGGTATAAGTACCCTGCTGATGCTGTACCTACGGCTTGCGCCTATGCCTCACTCGCACCGAGGCTCGCTCATGCCTGGAGAGAGAGTAAGGCCATGTTGAAACTGGCTACGATTGCTTGAGTGTTTTTCCAGCTGCCTGCCACTGACCCACTGACTCCCCTCAGACTTCAGTTAGAACCTGAAACCATCACGGGGATAAAGAAACCAAGATTCAGTAAGCCTGAGTCATCTGAGCAAGTTCGCCTGGATGGTGAGTTGCAGATCCTGGGATTCATATCCAAGTTCTCTGAGTTCACAGTCTAAGCTCTTTTCCTTATGCAATGTTTTCTTCTATCACACATGTGAATAGCTTCAGCAGAAGAAATAATATAGGACCGGCCAATTCAAAGTGTAGAAATTCCATATGTCTAAAATTTAGGGAGTGATAGCACCTGAAATCGTTCTTAAGGAGACCGAGCTCTAAGGAGGTGCAATAAGAACAGTCCACTGTTTGGCCAACAGGAAACACATCATTGTCAGTCTGTCTCACTTGTCCTTTAGTTGAAAATAGTTTAGCATAGGCCACATATTCATGTTCTTCAGTGTCACAGTAGCAGTGAGGTGACAAAATTCTTATGTCCCAGGGGGTGATAAAGAGTAGTTAAGAGAAAGGGTTTTTGAAATCAGATGTGAGTTCAAATCCTGAGCGCACTGTTGATTGGTTTAGTAAGTTACATAAACTTTTTGCTCCTCAGGTTTCTTGATCTGTAAAATGTGGATAATAAGCAGGTCTTTCTCAGAACGTGGTTGTGAAAACTCAATGAGTCAGTATATGTGAAGTGCTTAGAACAGTACTCAGCAAATAATCACTAAAAATGCCAGTGATTATTTTTACTATTTCTCATCCTAAATCTGTGGAAGAAAAGTGACAAATCTCGTGTCCCATGGCAGTCTTGTTCTAATAGTCAACCGCTATTGCTAGATACTAAATGTCACTTCATATTCTAAACCTGTAGACGTGTTCTACCTTGTAGAGTTTTTGAAATACTCTTCTTGGTTTGGTAGAGACACCATTATAATTCTACAGAACATTCGAATTTTACTTTTGTAGGCAGGTTCCAGGTAATATAATTTTCTATCAATTGTAAAGTTTAGAAGTTGTGCCTACGGCATATTTATTGAATAACAATACTTCTAATGTTAGAGTGAATTTTTGCTATATGAAATCTTAAGGGATTGGATAGAAAATATTTTAAGCAGAAAACATTCTGTGAAAGTATACCTTAGGGCATAACTTTTGAAGATGAATGTTATGTGATGGTAGCATTGAGTTTAATTTTAGGCCTTTTGTGCTTGGACTATGCAATAAATTATGCCTTGAAATTGTAATTGTCTTTTAAAAATGTTATGTCTTTATAAATTGATGCCAAAGACAAATCTTTCATTAAGAGTACAATCAGTGCTTTTTAGTTATGCCAATCTTGTCATCTGGAAAACATGTGGTATTTATACAGTTTTCAGAGATACATTTGATTTAGTTAGGTGCCCAGAGACCTGCACATGAATTGTTAATTTCATATTGCCCACAACAGCCATCCCGTGAATGTTTGCAGAGTTTATAGGAGATCAGTTACAAATGTGATTATACCAGCCATTCCTCAGACCTGACACCAGTTTCAAATTAAAAACTGACAGGCCTCACCTGCTCCTGGGTTCACCCACAGGTCACCTTCTTGTCACTTCAGCTCTCCCCCCATTAAAATGACATCTGTGTTCATAAAGGGACTGAGAAGGGCTGTGAGTTGCTAGAATTGTTGAGGAATAAGAATAAGGTGTTGTCTGCCCAGATAGTGTAGTGTTCAACTTTGGCCTTTAAAGGGGTACGAGGCCAGCCACAACTGACTGTGCTTCCAGATACGAGAACAAGGCCAGAGAGGTCACCTGCAGATTCGAATAGAACAAATGTGCCATGTAAGGAATATGTGTTCATGCTAGTAAAAGGGAAGAGGCAAATAGGGATAGAATCTTTAAAATACTCTTCCCAGACTGCTAAGTATTCTCTGGATGTTTTATTCATTTTACCTGAGAGGAAAAAAAAATAGTTTTTTCCTTAAGAAGTGTAAGAATTGCAATTAGATCAATATAAATTTAATCTACATGAAAAACATTTGAAATATCTATAAACAGCATTTGCCTAGAATAATTTGCCATATGTTAACCGTAATGCTTGCATAAAACATTATAAGGTGTCACCTGCTTTCCAAGAAATAGAAAATGCTCTGTAGATGTTATCTCAATTAAGACCACCAGTTAAAGAAGGAAAAAAGATACTTCTTAAAAGAGAAAACTAAATGATAAATCATTTGAAATAATGTCTTAATATTTTTGTATCTCTGATACTTAGGACAGTGCAATGCACAGAGCAGATATGTAATAAACATGTGTTGAAGATAAGCGAGTCCACATAAGAAACGCCTGGTCATTAAAAAAGCCACAGATATAAAAAGCTAATACTGATTATGAAAGTAGATTATTCTACTATAATTTAAGTTCTTTGATTTTTGAAAACAAGAATTTGTTAATCTTTTTTTGCAAAAACATATTAATGCTTTTAAGGTACATCTGCTTCTGGGGCATGAGAAACCCACAGCGGTTCCTTGTTGTGCCTGCAACAAGCCCTGTGAATGAGCTAAGCTCTCTAGTATGCTGTGCTTAGCTGGAAAGGAAGCAGGTGATGAAGAGATTGAGGCATAAGAGGAACATCAATCTCCCCCACCCCCATAGTTAGAAAATGTATTTTTTACACACTGATTTAATTATAGACCAAAGCTTTAATTGTAAACCTATCTTCAATCAATTTTTTCACCTACTTATTGGTGGGCCTCGTGATGCAGGCTGCAGTGCATGGTGGCATGGTAGTTAGGTGGCCTGCCTGAGGGTGAGCCTCATTTATTTGCTTTACTATCTGGGTGACCTTGGGCTACTGGTTCAACCACTTTGTAAGTCTTATTCTCCTTATCTGTAAAGTGGGGACAAGGATAATGTCTATATCACCCAGTAGGATGAAGTGAGTTATACTATGCAAAGCGTGCCAGTCCTGCTGGGGCATAGTAAGTGGTATATCTGTGCTTGTCAAGTTAAACAATTGCAAACTGAGAATAATTATATTATTTAGCTGTCATGTTTTGAAGGTTGATAAAAGAATTAAACTATAAATTTGTACATACTTGTCTGATAGTATGATTTTTAGTATATTATTGTTATATGTAAAATATAATGCTGGGCTGGCTGCAAAGGATCTAGACACAGTTCCTGTGCTCAGGGAGACTGTCCTATAGAAAGTGCAGTGTGGTCACTCATGTATTTCTCTTGTCCAAGAGACACAATGGAAGGGCTTCAGAAAAGTAACAGAACCTGGCCCTTCAGAGATTACCTGGAATCAGATTAATAAAGATGTACTATGGGAGGCAGTATTTGGGATGGGTCTTAATAGCCAGATTTTGAGAAGAAACCAGGTGGAAAGTATTTCGTTTTAGGATTATCTTGATTATATTTAAAATTAGAGAGGGAATTGGGTTATGTACATATAGAGCTTTATGTAGTTTATGCAAGCTGAGTTACCCAGAGCCCAGGATAGGGACTCAAATATTTATTGACTGCCTATAATCATGCCACACTTGTAAATACTGAAATTATAATGATAATTATTACATATAGTTTTCTTACTAGATAACAGTGTTAACAACTTTACATATATTTTATCATTTTTCCCTGTGATAATCTCACAAAGGTAGATACCAGTATTGTCTAAATTTTGTGACTGAGGAAACCACTGAGGCTTACAGGGGTTAAGTAACTTGTTCATAGTGACAAAACTAGTAAGTAATGTAACCAGAATTTTCTTACTGGAGGATAAGTTACTATTAATAATTTTAATATGCTGTGTCTCAAAAGGTATAAAGGTATAAAGACATTTTAGTTGAGATGATAGCACTGGGCAGAAGGATATGGTGTTGATGCACAGCTTTAAATAATATCAAAACAGAACAAATTGACATGAAAGATATTTGTTTGGTGGAGAGGATAGATGGGATAGAGATTGTGGGGGACTGGAGAGGGATTCTCTGGGATGCTGTAGATGTATTTCTTGATCTGCACATGTCACATGAATGTGTTAACTGTTTTTCATTAAGCTGTACACTTAGGATTAATAACTTTTCTGGATGGATTTTTATACTTCAGTTAAAGGGTTTATAAAGAAATATATGTTTGACATCCAGATTTGCTAAAGAGACTCACTAAATTCAGTTAAGAAACATTAAGAAAACTCAAACACACACACACACACACACACACACACAATTTTTGTCTACAATTCCATCTCTACCTTATCCAACAAAAGCTTAACTTTGGATCAGGAGATGTGAGCAGCAAATCTCTTCGAACTTTAAAAAATGGAAATGATATAACGTGTCTTCCACAGGGTGAAAGTAAAGATCAAATGAGATCTAATGAGACAACATAGAAATAAGATTCACGGTGTCTATCCTGCAAATGTCCTTTTGTAAAGATCACAAGAATGGGCTCTTGAATACTAGTAGGCGGAGTATTCATGTTAGAAAGTTATTTCAAAATTCCCCTTTAGGGTAAAATACATAATTTGTGCTTCATCTCCTCCTGTACCTCTATATTAAATATTCATTGTCTTAATATATGACCCGTATGTTGTTGTTGCTTAAAAAAATACGGTAAAATATTGTCACCTGGAAGGGCATTGGAGTATAAAATCTAAACAAAACTTGTACCTCTGCACTTGTAGAAAACTATGAAATATAATACAGCACATACGAAGTACATATTTGTTGATTCATTCCAAGAAAATAAGAGCCGAAATGTTTTAAAGTGTAACTATGAACGTGTATAGGAAGGGAAGAGTTTTTTTATCCCCCTATGGATGTTCTATAAAGATTATTTTGGAAAGATGCAGTCTGAGGAAGATGTGGTAGATAGAAAATTACAAAGAAATGTTTAGCTAGGTTGAGATGCTAACATTCTAGGACTGTCTAGTCCATAACAGGGACTGTCTACCTACAGCCTGCAGGCTAAATCCAGCCTACAACCCGTTTTATTTTTTTTTGGAAGCCTGTGAGCTAAGCAAGGTGTTTTACATTTTTAAGTGGTGGAAAACATATACTTTGTTTCTTGTAAAAATTATATGAAATTCAGATTTCAGTGTCTGTAAGTTAAGTTTTGCTGGGACATGGTCGTGGT